GCCATGTTGCTGGATTGTGTGGCTCATTAAAGGGTTCTGAATCAAAGGCTTTTTTGCTATTGCAGCCATATTGCAGCATGTTGTCTGCAATTGATTGTTCAGCCATAAAATGAACTAAAATGTTTTTTTTGATGGCTGGGCAATGTTTGCCAATAATTGCAGCCACAAATTGTCGTAAAATATAGCCCGTTTAGACGCCCCTTTTTACAAATATCATGCAAATATGAACCTCATCAACAAAAATATATTTGTCTCATACTTACACGTTGTACATTTCGTATGTAAAAAGAGATAAGTACAAATCATAAACTTCAATTTCTGGTAACATTTTTCATATGACGTCACCAAGCTCCGCCTTGACGCCCATTCCGCCATTTAAGAGCGACACACTCCGCTCATGTTTTTGGTAGATCATCTGTCAACAATACGGTTTTTAGAAATAGTCTTGTGCTTAATAGTTCGCGACTAAGATCACTCAGATCAGTTCGCCGCTCCTAAACGAACTAGTTCGCTCTTTTAGTTCGTCAGCTCCCGACTCGCAGTTGGAGTTGGAATTGGAATGAATCGTATAGGAACTAGGAACGCACTGGCAGCCAAATCGCTCCCTAGTTCGTCAGCTGCCGACTCAGCTCATGACTTTTCAAGTGAGATCATATGTTATCGCATTTTTTAGTTCGGTCTTCACCATAGACTATACATATAAACGACTTCACAATCCTTGTACTTGTACTTTGAAATACGAACTAAGGAACTAAGGAGTTGGGAATGACGTGAACTAGTTCGCATATTTTGAATGTGGGAGCGCTCTTTTGAACTAGTTCGTTCACGAACTACACAAGCCTATTTAGAAATATTTTCGGTGTTACAGTAAAGTGTTTCGATATTACCCTTTTCACCGCCAAGCACTTCTATAGAAGTTCGGGAATTTCGTGCCACCAGCGCCACAACTTCTATAGAAGTTGTTCATTTAAACCATCTTATTAAAGTAAATTTACTGTGATTAAAAGCTTTATTTCATTTTATTATTTACTAGCGACCCGCCCCGGCTTCGCACGGGTTCAATATGTATATACATACAAACCTTCCTTAAGAATCACTCTATCTATTAAAAAAAACCGCATCAAAATCCGTTGCGTAGTTTTAAAGATCTAAGCATACATACGGACATACAGCGAAAGCGACTTTGTTTTATACTATGTATTGAAGATAGCACTGTCTACTACCCTGTTTTTTATTTTTCTACACAAAATAAGCCCTAGTTTGTCCAAAAATCGGCAAAAACAGAAACTCCGAATTTGTTACTTTCCTCAGAACGCCAATCACTTCATATCAAGTTGGCCAGTGATGTGCCGATGATTTTGATATTTATGAATACAAAAAGTTACGATTATCGAAAACAATTTGAGGTCAATAAATTATGAACTTAGTTATCTACTTCATTACAAAGGATAGTAGATGAATTTCGACCTTCAGGTAGATGCCGATACGTAATTATAAAGTTGTTACCAATTCTTGTCGATAGCTATTTTCCCATCTCTACAAAACAATTGGTCGTCTGTGCCCCTGTGCGCCACCGAGTGCCACTAACTAGGTAATATAGAAGTGACGTCATAGGCGTGCGGCTGTCAAGGTCACTTTGGCATAGTGCAGCACAACATCGGATTCGCGCACATGCATCTTTCTTTCTTTCTTTCACCTAAAACAAATAGAAAAATGAGTGAAGAACCTAATTCGGACTAACTTCTAAAAATTTTTCAAGGTGTGGAATCGGACTCGGTGTATTTAGTGGATAACATTGAACCAGGAGATATAATTCTGAGGTATGTCTGACTGGATGATAATAATAATGTTTATTCATCAAAGAGTAGTAATTCCTCATTGGCCGAGTGGTCGCAAGTGTGACTGCCGGGCAAGGGGTCTCGGATTCGATTCCCGGGTCGGGGAAAAGTATTACAGGGTTTTTCAAAAAATTCCCAGTAGTAGCACGGAGTCTGGAATTGTGCCCGGTATATGGCAATAGGCTCACCCCCTATTACACGGGACTCATAACATAAATAGTGAAATGTGGGTGTTACATTGTACAGTGGCATAATGTACACCTCTGCCTACCCCTTCGGGGATAAAAGGCGTGATGTTATGTTATGAGTAGTAATTCAACAAGTAAGTATGTAAAATGTTCGATGAGCCCAGTATCTCCAGATGCACTATAATTACAGTAGATTTAGGTACTGTTTTTGTTCTCTATACACTATTATGGTAAATACAGTATATGAAAGCACAGTAATTTTAACTTTTTTAGAAATTATTTTCAATGAAAAATAAGGAAACCTAATTGCAATTCGTCTAAAAATCATACCCATAAATGGATAAAACGTAACGTTATATTGTAGACTAGCTGACCTGGCAAACTTCGTACCGCCTAAAAAATATTTTTCTCACCTTTTAAACCTTCCCTGGACTTCCACGAACATTTCAAGACCAAAATTAGCCAAATCGGATCAGCCGTTCTCGAGTTTTAGCGAGACTGACGAACAACAATTCATTTTTGTTTATATAGATAATATCTGAACTTAAAAAAACAATGCTTTGATGTACAAGGCTTCAAGCGTGATAAAATTTAAATATACACTTACTTTCCATTTCAAAAAACTATTAAAAATTCTGCCACTTAGATACCTACGGTAAAAAACGTTGACTGAAGTTATTAAAAAAAACAGGAATAAACAAAAATAGAAGAAAGACCATAGACCCCATCCCTGATCAGAATCGAATTCAACGTGCCCTCAGTGCCAATAACTTGATATAAAGTTAAAGAATGAGATCACGAAACAAATAGAGATGTACCCCATTCCTTATAGTTCTAATTAAGTTATCTATTAGTTTCTTTGATACTCATAATTTATACTGTTTTTTCTGGAATAACAAATCTGGAAATATTTCATCAGTTTTTATTTATTTTCGTAAAATCAACTTTAAATCTTAACTTTACGCGTACAAATCTTATTCATCGATATGACGATATCCCCATCACTACTGTTTACTGTATATTTAGTTATACATTTATAGCTTGGCGCTCGGCGAGGCATTGCATTTTGTGTGCGTTGGCTGCAAAAAGGTTAATGGAGTATTTTTGCCAATAAGTGAAATGAATCTGAACGCAAAGCAAGTGTTGCATCAAGGAATGTAATTCAAATTCACGTATAAATGAGATGGATTGTCATATTTTAGGTTAGTTCTAATTTTCTTTGTTATTTGTGTATACTTCTTGTGTAAATTATGATATAAGTCTTTATTATGACTTCTAATTCGGGTTTTCTGCTATTATGTATACTTTCATAAGACTGTTATCACATAAATTGAACTAGTAAACATTTTAATTGTTTACATTTCATTCATAGTGCTGATCTTCGTTTTGTAAAGTTATCGATAGCAGTATTAGCAATAATATTGAGATAGCCGTCTGGTTAACGAACATTTACGGTATATTTATCTGTATTAAATGAAAATATTGTTATAGAGCCTTTTATTTAGGATGTTTGACGAGTTGATTGACGTCTTAAAATGCAATATTTTTATTTGTTTTCATATAGTTACTTTATTTAATTTGCGCATAATGATGTTTAAATTTGATTTTAGATTTCCTAAAAATGAAATCCTAAAGGACTTGTGGATGGAAAAATAGGCAAGGAGAATATAAAACATGCATCAGTATCAACAATATGCTTCAACCATTTTGAAGAAGATTGTGTGAACAGAACATTGAATATTATTCGACTTCAAGATAACGTAATTCCTATTCTTTTTGAAAATGGCCTAATTTTCAATGGAATGAACATTAGAGTTCTCATAAACTGTTATTCTTACATATTTAGATAAAAGATATAAATATTAGATACGGTAAAAAGCAGGAATAACACGTGTCAAAAAAAAATCTTTAAAAAAAATTGTTTCGCCATGAATATATTATTATTATCAGCAAAACGTTTGACATTTATTCATTATAATGCACTCTGACCCCTGTCCCCATTCCACCGTACTGTTTCACATTACAGGAAAACGCAGTGTTCGATGGTATAACTGTGTTTGCTTTCTAGTTGTCTCACTTTATATAGGTGTATGAAATAAGTTCAGTCTACGTGATTTTGGAGCAACGTTCTATAGCCAACATTCTCTGAAAGGGTCAAGGTTTTTAATACAGTACTCGCTTAAGAATCAATACATAGTATAAAACAAAGTCGCTTTCGCTGTATGTCCGTATGTATGCTTAGATCTTTAAAACTACGCAACGGATTTTGATGCGGTTTTTTTTAACAGATAGAGTGATTCTTAAGGAAGGTTTGTATGTATAATACATGCATATTGCACCCGTGCGAAGCCGGGGCGGGTCACTAGTCTTATATAAAGTTATCGTTGAACGAAGGTTTCAATGGTATTGGTATTTATAATATTAGTGAGATTATGACTTTGTGAATGCTTGCCATCACTGCACTCTTTTAGCAATTCCTTTATTTCTTTATTTCGAATTGAACTAAATGATAAGTTATTATTTTATATTTACATTGAATTGCCTATGTCGATATGTTATGTCGACGTAGGTACAACACTATTGTGGGCGGAGATCCGCCATTTTTGAAGTATTTTTAGCTTCAAATCACGTGACCATATTTCAAATCCCCTATTATACATCTATGGTGGGCTCCCTATACCCGACATATTATTTTACTCTATGCCCTGAATCTCCAACAATCCTCAAATTCCTAATCCAGTAGGCGGAGAACGCACTTGTAACGCCTCTGGTGTTCCAGGTGTCCATGAGCGACGTCGACTGCTTACCATCAGGTGATCTGTCTGCTCGTTTACCGGCTTATCCAATAAAAAAAACCTTAATTATTCCAGACTGTTTTTTGCCAAGCTGTACCTACGTACAAAAGATAACTCTGTGTCCCTTTCAGATTGCGACCGGTTCGAATTGTCTCCAACCACGAAAGATGAAGAATCATCATTAGCAGCATCACCGTTGCCACCATCATCATTACAGTTACCGTCGAGTCGTCCTACGCACGTCCCTTTTGGTGAGTGACTACTATGTTTTTAGGACACACAACATATTTTCTTTCAGTGTAAAACTAACAGTTAGGCAGCTAAACACGCACTGCCCGTCTGCCCAAGAAGTTACCTAGTGTTACCTAATTTTTGTTATTTTAATTTTGAATTGTATATATATATTTTCTTACTGTTTTCTATTATTATTATTAAATGTATTATTTTATTAGTAACGGGCAAGTGCTGAAAATCAGCGCCGTGACTCGAGCACACTCGTGTCACGGCATTTAAGCTGAGCTCTTGCCTTTTTGCGCCGTCTTACTGTATTGTTTCTTATTTTATTTCCTTGTGTCAGTGTGCAAATAAAAAAAAATGTCTTTCTTTCTTTCTTTCTTTCTAGTGATAAACATACTCGAACCGCTCTTGCAGATAGTTAACAACTTGAAGTTGCTATTGGTAACTGCTCAAGCTCATGACGTGCAATGAAGAGCGCGGGCGGGGGGCACGAGAATAGCAGTCAGTGCATGCCTGATGACTGTTTGTCCGCATGATAAAATTAATGTCAAACTGCCCGAAGCAGATGCTCATCGAGCAATGCGTCTATGAACTACTAGCTTTTATCCGCGGCTTCGCTCGCGTCACAAAAGGATAAAAAGTCGCCTATATGACATATACCAATACACACAGCGCCATCTATACCAATAATTTCGTTTTCCCTCGAGAGTATCAAATTTTTCCGGGTTAAAAAGTACCCTATTATTTAATCCAGACTTCTAACTTTACATCTGTAAATATTCAAAGCAATCGGTTTAGTAGTTACGGCGTGAAAGCGGCACAAACAAACAAACTCACTTTCCGATTTATAATATTAGTAAGGATGAGGGGCACATCCGCCTGACCACCAAGTTATGTTTGTTTGCATCTGATGAGATGGGTTCTCTAACCCCGCCCCATGTCGCGAAAAAACTAACGGGTTACCAGGGCTCCGGCTCGAAGCGCAGGAGAAGGAACGGAGTGGTTTTTAGTCAGTAAGAGTCTGACACTCCCTCCCGCCTCACCCAGCGGGAGAAGTCATTAGATGACTTTCCCCCCTTGCACTTGCCTTAGGGATAATATAGCTTTAACCCGAATGTAACAAATAAGTATAAAGATATGTCTATGTCTAGAAGTCAGGGCTGCATTCAGCCCATTCACCCCGCCTGAAACGTTATAAGTTATTTGTTCACTTTGTTGGTGGACTTTACAAGCTTTTACTTAACTTGCAATGTATATGGGTGTGTAATATGCATATGAAATCTTGAAACTAAATTTTGAAGCAGGTATCTTCAATCGATTGAGCTGCATATCTGTGCCTATTTTAGTTTGCATGACTATAAATGGTATTCAGTTTATCGTGAGCTTCCATGTATGTACTTAAAAATCTCATAATATATATTTATTATTTAATAATTTCTTATTGAAATATACTAAACGATAAAAAATATTTTTCCTGGTTAACTTGTATCGAAACGTCGTTTTTAGACCATAGATTATACAGTAACTTTTAAACGTCACTGTTTACTTGACATTGATAACATGGCTGTCATTGTCATAGGGTTTGTTGTGTTGATTTTTACGAAGTTGATGCTGTATTTGGCCTAATTTGGAGTGATATTATTATCGCAAACTTTTTTGACTGTGAAATTTTATTTCAGTGACTGTTAGAACGTCGTATTTAGAGGGAAAAAAATAATACATAATTATAAAGAGTTACGATTTTAGAGTACAATGCCAAAAAAATATGGTAATCATAATCGATGTTATTTTCGTTGCATTAATGATGGTAAGTAAATTTTATTCACATTTTTATTGTTGTAAATGTGTAGTATCGATATTGTATTTAAAGATAAATAAAATTGATGTATTTGTTTGTAATATTAATCAGACTGGGAGAAAATGCCTGAGGCATTAAGTCTACCTATTGTACACTTTTGCATGAAGCATAATATAAAAATAAATTAAAATAACCGCATTTTACTACATCCATATAAATATACACACAATACTCATACCAAAATAACATGTTTTTACATTTTTTTCTGTCTGTTTGCTAGAACTAGCAAATCTCTCGATTGGCTAAACAAATTTTGTAAGACTGTTATTGACAGTTAGCTTAGACTGACCCTAATTTATCTGCCGTAACACATGACACTGGCAGAATAGTCAACTACTAAATAGCGGAGACGCAATTGCCATAAATGAGAAAAAACCTACTTAATCGTTAATGTAATAAAACAAAGACCTAACCTTACCTTTATTTCTCATTTATAATTATTATTCTGGTTTGTTTTTACTTTTATTTAAGTTTATATTATATTAATTACTAATATTATAAAGAGGAAAGATTTGTATTTTTGTATGTTTGTAATGAATAAACTCAAAAACTACTGGAATGATTGCAATAATTTTTTCACCATTAGAAAGCTGCATTATTCAGAAGTAACATAGGCTATATAATATCACGCTAGGTCCTATAGTTGTGGAGCAGTAACCAAAAATGTTTTAAAAATGGGGGAAAAGTATCGTTTCTGAGGCCTTCCGTGGCGTGCTCTGAGCATATAGTTAAAGTTATACAAAAATGCTCTATAGATGAATTGTAATAAAACGTAAAACTATGTAAAAAATCTTAAGTCCCCCCATGTGAAGCCGGGACCGGCCGCTATGTATTATATGTATAAGACATTATTAATTGTCAAGTCTCATGTGGTGCTGTATCAATGTATATTGAGAGACCTGGCTCTTGTGATACAGGGATATCTAGTACAAGAACCAAGGCTTCACTGTGTTAACTCTTTGAAACGCTAATAAACACTTTTATTATGTTTATTTTTTTTTCCGCAAGCATGCAATATGCCTGTATTATACATATTAATATCTTCCATAAGAATCACTCTATCTAGTATAAAAAAAATGCATCAAAATCCGCTGCGTAGTTTTAAAGATCTAAGCATACATAGGGATAGACAGACGGTGGATAGCGACTTTGTTTTATACTATGTAGTGAAGGTTAAAGAAGAAAGGTATTTATTTATTTAATTATTTAAAGCTTCATGCACAAAATGTACACAAGGTGGACTTAATGCCGCAGGCATTCTCTCCCAGTCTGACCTTTGGGTGATGCAGAGAAGAGTTAATGGTGTGAGCAAGAAGCAAGCAATTATTTAATAGAGCAAATAAAATAAATACACTTACATATTTCAGAGATAAACATAAATACTTAAACTTAATTATAATATATATACCTACACACAAGTACAACACAATACACATGCATGCATTCATACACATAGGTATTATATATAAAAATTTAATGTTTAAGGTCCGTTGCATCATTTTCCAAATCCTCAAAGTGTAAACATGGAAGATATAATAAGATATTACAATTGGAAAGCTGTACTAGATGCAGCGACACAGAGCAAAGGAGATGATTTCATTTATAATCAATTAAGACTTTGTAACCGTCATTTTATGGATTGCTACCATCTGCCCAGTCGACGTTTGACTAAGAATTCAATACCCACCTTGCATCTAAATGGTTCAGGTATGATTACTCTTATTTTATCCTAACTAATATAATTAGACTGCCTTGTTAGCCGAGTGGTTGCAAGTGCAACTGCCGGGCAAGGGGTTTTGGGGCTTGATTCTCAGATAGTGCACTTGCGACCACTTGACTAAAAAAGCAGGGAGATGTAAATACTACGATATTAATGTATTATATTTTCAGATGGAAATACGGCTGAATCTCTACTCTACAATGAACTGTCAGTTCCTATTAGTGAACCTACAATACCCAGCTTCATGGGAAACCGTTTAGGTTAGTAACATTAACGTCTAATACATCAACTGCCTATGGTGGTCCACTCTCAGGAGCAGTCATCAATGAAATTCCTCCTTAAAAAAATAGTTCACTGCTGTAGTCCACTGCTGAACCAGTCTATAAACCTCGTCTATTTCATTTGCCATCACTACCACCACCGGGTATGTTGCACCCACGGGAAGAGGAGGGGTGGTGTTATATGTTTCATGCTGTACCGTCATACAGTTTCGTCAGTCATCAGGTCGATGCAGATACAATAATAATTAAATTGTTTAAAATACCGAAATAATTTTATATCAACTTAAAATCGCAGGTTACTCACATGAGTATATACTGTAAAATGCTCTACTAGTTTCGAACCAAAGGGGGGTTCTTCCTCATGAGCAGCGTACGATGTGTCGCAGCGATGTCACGCAGCCTACTGAGGTTCGCAACTAGTAGGGCTTTCTCAGTAAATACACGTGAGTAACCCGCGATTTTTACTTAATTTTAGGATGTCTTACAATTTTTATTATTAAAACATAATACTATGTGTTTGCCGTTACTTAACCATTAACGTTGCTATTAAGAAAATAATCTATTCCACAAAACAAGAAATGATTCTTTACATATCTTTTTTAAAATAATATTTTAAGATCTATGGATTCAAGTCATTCATGCTCTAATGTCTGTTCAGAACAAAGACATTAGAGCACATGTAGGTATCACGCATTAATTTTTACGATTAAGCGTGAAACAGATCTTGTTACTATTTAATCTATAAAAGTATTCAGTCTATATATAATCTATGGTCGTCTCAAATGTCAGTGTCATTTCTATCATTGAACGGAGCGTCTATTTTCACGTGTGCGGCGAAAACTCTGAACTAAATTATTTTTCTTCGGACTTTGTTTAGCCAACATTATAAAATACTTGGTTACCTTAGTAACCTAGACCAACATTACACAATAATAAAAAACAAATATGGCCGCCTTTGTGTACACATGTTTGTGATGTAAACAATCTCAGTTTTTACGTTTTTCTGTATTATTTCCGGATTTATTGTGTATTTTTTGAGTCGAGCGCCTGGTCCTCCGTTTCATCTTTAATTATAAAATAACTTGTGTTATAGTATCGACTCAAACTCAAAAGCATTTATTTCAAATAAACCATAATTTGGTACTTTTGAAACGTCAACATATATGAAATAAATAATAGTCTGAAAGTAGATCTAAAAGTAGATTCGAGTGGAGAAGATCGAGGAAAAAACTACATTCGTTACTCCTTTAAAAAATAGTTTGTTTTACAATCTCACTGATACATATTCGAATATTGTACAAAATATATGTGAGAACAATTGACCACTCGCGATATATTTTGTGACTCTTATAAGACAATGACTCGTTAAATGTGTGATAATCAGTGAACAAGTATGGGTGGCCACAGAAGGTGTGAAATTTGTAACATCAATGAAGCTTGGCCTACAGGAAAGAATTTACGTTTTACCGCCTTTCCGCTGAATCTAGACCGGTGAGTACTTCCTAATCTATATGTATAAAGAAACCGCGGAGGACTTAACCGATTGCCTTAAACTGTCAAACACCAAGCGGTCACCGGTGACCGCAACCTATTGTTCTATATTTGTGTCTATAATGACGGTACTCAACGAGAACTTAACTTACACTTAACTTGATTTAACTTTAACTTAAATACTTTAACAAACTTCAGAAATTGAATGTAAAGAAAACAATGAAACCTTAATTCAATGGTTATCGAAATGGTTAAAGCACTTAAAATATTTTAATAGTTCCCCTTCAGGGTGCTTACTCTTGAAACCAATCTCAATGTCAGTGCAATTTCAATCCAATAATATCTCAATAACTGTTCAATGTCAACACTATACAACCACAATTGTAGCTGTTACAATAGCATTCAGAGTACGGTATATAAAGCCAAACTCAATACCATTTAGTTCATTCAATATCCACGCAATACGGATGCAATGGGCGCTAGTGTTGCAACTCAAGAGTACGAAATTTCACAATACCAATGTCGATCGATCGGAATTTGATTAAAGAGTAAGCCCCCAGGTGGCATTACAAAATGCCACCCGTTATACAGTTTGGTAGTTGGTACGGGTCAAAAGTTTATGCTACAAATGGGTGCTTTCCTTAATCTTATACTATTATGTAAAGCAGAAGAGTTTGTTATTTTGTTTGAACGCACTAATCTCCAGAACTACAAGTCTGATTTGAATAATTATTTATTTTTGTGTTGGATAGCGCATTTATCGAGGATGGCTACAGGCTATAAAACGTCACTCTACGACTAATAGGAGCTGAGCAGAGCGTGTGAAACCGCGCGGAAGTAGCTAGTCAAAAATAAATTAATTTGACTGTTCAATACAATAATATATTAATAATTAATCACACTTTCATTAATTGACTTTATAACCGACTTAATTTTAGTATTTGTCCAGCAAATTTTTAAGAAATGAGTATGCTGTTTGACGCTAAAAAAACGTGACGTCACAATACACAATCTCCTACGAAATTCTTAAAACTGTCGTTTTTGACAGTTCGAAAAAGTATTGTATTTGACTAGTTGGCAAGTACGCAATACCGACATACCTCCTTTGCTTCATTTATATTCATAGAAAGATAGAGAGAAAGAAGAGAAACTGCATAACTACCTGGTTATGCTTTTTTTATCTCTTCATTTATTTTGTAGTATTATTATGTTTGTTTAATTAATTAATTTTATCTAAACTGCTAATATCTAATTGGTGGCTTGTTCGTCCGCGAGTCACTTAAGGGGCCAGTAGAATACCAGCGCAAGGCCCTGTCTTGCACATGGTGAACTGGTCTCATTTCGCGGCAGACTTGTGACATGAACATAAATCCATCAGTACCTACTAATGCAATGACTTATTCGTACATGTCACTTGTTGGCGTGAAATTTTTTTTTCTTTCTTTCTTTCCTACATACCTCCTTTGCTTCATTTAAATTCATCAATATCTTGGTCTAAGATTTTGTAAACATGTTCATTATAAATCAGCTACTCCCGTGCGGATTGGCTCGCTCTGCTAGGCGCTTATAGATCGTAGCTTGACCTTTTATAGCCTATAGCCTTCCTCGATTAAACTGTCAAACACCAAGCGGTCACTGGTGACCGCAACCTATTGTTCTATAATTGTGTCTACAAAACCGGTACTCGACGAGTTAATGGACTATCCAACACTAAAATAATTATTCAGCTTTGTTAAAAAGCTGTTAAAGACTTCAAAAAAGTAGCAGGTTCTCAATTCAACTGTATATATGCTTTTTTATGTTTGTTCACCGATATCTCCGTTATTTGTAAACCAATTTTTATATTTCTTTTTTTATATAATAACAGTTTTGTCTTCCAGCTGCAGAGAATGGCTAAAACGAGTGGGTAACGATGAATTAGTACATCTACCAGTGGAAAAGCTGCATGAGAGGAGACGAGTATGCTCAAACCACTTTAAAAGGGAAGATTACAACAAAGTTGGGAACCGTCTGAATAGGAACGCTATACCATCCTTGAATCTAACTGCCCCACCTCTCACCGATGAACAATTGGCAGCGTTCCCTCAACATGTCTACAGACGTTCAGACTCACATGGTAAGTTCATTAACCCACTTCAAAAAGGCGAAGCTTAGTTACACCTATGTTTATGCAATCATCTCGTGATTGGCTGAACAGATTTTGATGATTTTCAGAAAAGCGTTTGTTTAGCTTAACTATCGTGAGACATACTAAATTATTTAAAAATCGCGAGTTACTCACGTGAATATACTGAGGAAATCTCAACTAGTTTCGAGCCACAGTGGGGCTTCATAGATTTTAATATTTACTTAACTTTGTTCTAGAACATTCACCAGTCAGTGACCAGAGACAAGATATCAAGGAACAACAAGATGGTAAGTCATTATTAATACCTAAATTCTTTAATTGAACTGCCTCATTGGCCGAATGGTCGCAAGTGCGACTGCCGGGCAAGGGATCTCGGGTTCGATTCATGGGTCGGGCAAAGTATAACTGGATTTTTCTAAAAATTTACAGTAGTGACACGGAGTCTTCAATTGCGCCCGGTGGGGTAGGTAGAGGTGCAGATTATGCCACTGTACAATGTAACACCCACTTTTCACTATTTATGTTATGAGTCCCATGTAATAGGGGGTGAGCCTATTGCCATACACCGAGCATAATTCCAGACTCTGTGCTACTACCGAGAAAGTTTTTTTAAAAAACTATGTAATTTTGAACCATTCATTATTTGTTCTTACAGATCTACCACTTGTAGTCCAGCCAGTGCCATCTACAAGTAAAAATCCGACGCATATCGATTTCGACCTGACTCAAATTGGTATATTTATTTATTTGCTAGCTTTACGCCGCGTGATCGCGCGCGCTTCTTCCCTTCCTATAAATTGTTATCAAAATATTGAAGTTTTTTTATTTGAAAGTTAAGGAACTTATTTGTTCTGATGATTTTTAACAGACGTTTTTTTGTACCACTGCCATGTACCATACCTACGTGAATGGTACGTACCCATACACGTAATTTTAGCCCAAGGGCTCCACAAAGTCACGATCTTCCCTTCTGTTGGGTATACTACACCCGCGGGAAGAGTAGGAGTAGTGGTAACTTATTGCGCGATGAATTGATTCCACTTAATCACTATAATTTATGTGTGACTAAGAATTAATTTTATTATGGTTTTGTTGTGTCAATAACCTCTAGGTCCAAGTTGTATATTATATTCTTTGACCTAACCTCTGATCTCAATATTGATATTTTTACTGCAATTCGGCAAAATAATGTAACTAAAACAATCAAAAAATTACCAGAATTTAAAAGTAAAGTTACTGTATAATCTATGAATAAAAAACTATCAAGTATAATCTATGGTCATCACCGCCGCCATGTGTCAAGTGTCAATGTCATTCGGTAGCGTCAATTTTTCGAATTCTACGTAAATATTATCGAAAAATGTTATTATTATTAAATAAATTATACTACTAAGTGATTCTACAAGGAAATTTAATTTTTATTACGTCTATAGTTATGTGTATTAATAATAGTTCGATTTATGAGTGAAGCGTTGAGAAAAACGTTAACTTCACTGTTGTCACTTGTGATTTCTTCGTGATTTAGTGTTTTTATGAGTTTGTAAACGTTTTGTACTGCGACAATGCCGAAACGCTGTACATTAGGGTGTGAACACGGAGGTAAGTAAACATTTTTGTATTTATTTACTTGTATTTTAGTTTACGTATTTTTTTTACCCTGTCATGTCAAATCTGCTGAAGGGATCGAAATGAAAGGAGACGCTGGTCTCCTTCCTCCCACAGATAAGGCCCTGACAAGAATGAAATATTGTAGGCTTTCAAGGACTTATATTAATATTTATCCCTGTGTTATTGGGTTTTTGATAGAACTCCGGAGATTTCAAATATTTCAGTTACTAGTCTAAAACTCCTAATATATTGTGCACACTCTTATGGCTTATTAAAAGTCGCCTGAGTCCTACCACCTAATTACAAACACAGGATTGAATACTAATATTAGTCTATGAAAACCCACAATATTTTATTTTTGGCTGCCAGGGCAGAAATTTGCACATCTCTTTTTAAAAAGGGGTAGGTTATAGTCTAGAATTACACATAGGCTACCTTATATAGCAAGTAGCTTCACTAAAGGACTGACAGGCAGACTGACATTTTTTCCTTAACATTTAACCCGTTGATATCCATCCCCTAAATTTGGTCATACAAAAGTATTCTCTAAACATTAGAAATAAGGTCTATAATGTAATGTAATATTAGTGGAAAGCGGTCACCGGTGACCGCTTGGGGATTTATGGGTTAAGTATTTTGTTTAGACAATCAAAAGTCATCCTGGTGTAATTGAACTAAATGATTTTGACTTTGACTTTATATCCCACAAACTCATTTATATGGCATTAAAACTGAATCAATATTTTAAAGTCACGCTAATTATAGTTCTGTCTCTACAAATTCTTTGTAAAATAACAGAATAATCTGCCGTCACCACTCGACACTGGCAGTATAGTCGACAACACTATTGGAGACTCCGTTGCCAAAAAGAAAAAAAAAGAGATGGCGTGATGTTTAAGTAAAACTTAAGGGTAGCATTTCAGTATTATTTGTCACGGAGAATCTAACGGTTTACCGAGGCAAGTTACCGGGGAACAACACTTAGTGTGATCCACAAATTGTTGTTCCGGGTCTGGGCGTCATGTGTATGTGAATTTGTATGTTTGTAAACGTACACACGACACAGGAGGAAATCCTACTATGGAGCAATGTTATAAGAAAAATGTTTGCATGCAATAAATGCTAAGCCGTTAAAGTATTTAATTTGTAATATCTTATTTCAGTTGGCACACATCGCTTTCCGAACCCAAGAAAGTTTTTGAATAAGTTCAGGAAGTGGGTCCTCATTTCTGGGGGGGATCCAGATGATCCGATTGACTATGAACGTTACCAAAAATGTATTATGTGCGACAAACATTTCGATGCTAAAGATAGAACTCGGTATAATCGACTCAGCTGTCTGGCTATTCCATGCCTAAATTTGCCACCGAGTAAGTAACCATAACATCACGCCTTTTTATATCAGCAGAGGTGCACATTTCGGCACTTAATGCCACTGTACAATGTAACACCCACTTTTCACTATTTATGTTATGAGCCCCATGTAACAGGGGGTGAGCCTATTGCCATACACCGGGCACATTTCCAGACTCCGTGCTACTACTGAGATTTAAAAAAAATACTTTGCCCGACCCGGGAATCGAACCCAAGACCCCTTGCCCGGCAGTCGCACTTGCGACCACTCAGACAACGAGGCAGTCATCTTACTAAAATTATAAATTTGAAAGTTTGTGTCTATTTTTTATGGGTATAAGATGGTAAACGAGCAGATGTATCACCTGATGGTAAGCAATCGGCGTTGCCTATGGACACCTGGAACACCAGAGGCGTTACAATTGGGTTACTGACCTTTTGGGATTATGAATTTGAGGTTAATTGGGCATCCGTAACCTCACTCACTCGACGAAACACAACGCAAAGTAAAGTAATCGTAACGAGAAGGTACGCGTTCGGCGCTGTGATTGGTTGGTTCATTGGCGCCCGCCAATCAGAGGCGAGTACGAGTTTATTTTACGTTTAAAGTTATCGTAACGAGTACACTCGTTCGGCACTCTGATTGGCCGGCATCAATGAAGCAACCAATCACAGCGCCGAACGCGAACTCGTTTCGAATACTTTAAACGTAAATCAAACTCGTACTAAGGCCTCAGAATTTATACAACTTTTTGTGTTTTAGGTGCAGCCAAAATATTTGAAGAAATAAAACGAAATGATGATAATGGTGATGGTGATACGGAAATGAATGATACTGAACCAGATCCTTGCGATTCTGTGCTGTTTGAAACCGGTAAAATAATTTTTATTTAACAATTTTATTAGTTCATAAAAGGTATAGTGACGAAATTCATTCTAATATTGTGTTTAATTATGTTATAGATACACCTGAAATACAATCTGAGTTTGAAGTACAAGAAAATCTCGAAGGAGAGTTTATTTCCAAAGGACAGTCGGATCCTGAAGGACAGTCGGAACCTGAAGGACAGTTGACATCCGTAGCACTGTCGGAGCCTGCTGAAATCGAGACATCTGTAAAAGAATTGACACCTGTAGTATTGTCGAAGCCTACAGGACAGTTAAAACCTGTAATACTGACAAATATCAAAGGACAGTTTATGCCTATAGGACAATTAAAACCTGCTGGACTATCGACACCTGTAGTACTGTCGAAGCCTGTAGGACAACTGAAACCTGTAGTCCTCTCGAATTCCGGACATTCAAAACCTGCAGGACAATTGACACCTGCACTATCGAATCACAACGGACAATTGATGCCTGTAGGAGAGTTAAGACCTGCAATAAAGTTGAAATCCCTAGGACATTTGCATCCTGCTGGAAAGTTTATACCAGTTGGACAGTTGAAACCTATAATAAAGTTGACACCCATAGCACAAACACCTGTCGGAAAGGCAAAGAGACATATTCACTGTGTGGGATCACATGGTAAATGCATTAATTTTGTAATAAAATTTCTATTATTCGGTAATATTTTTATTTGTATCATGATTCCTAACTCAGGAGACTATCCTAGTCATAAGTACAGTCTTAAGAGGCCACTGCTAACCAAAGACCTCATCTCATACGGATAAAGGTTTATTCACCACGCTTGCTCAATGCGGGTTGGTGATTTTAAACTTATAATTAGAAATAAATCCTTAACACAGCAAATGTTTAAAACTCAAATAAGAAACTTTTTTATTGAATTTAACAAATAAAATTTTTAAGTGTGGGAGAAACTTGCTTCGGCAGGAACGAACCACGGCTTCACAAAAGACCGACGTGAAACAACCACAGCATTGTGTTTCGTCGTGTGAGTCCTCACTCAGACTCCGGTATCATCTTACCGGAGACACGAATTACCCCTCGACCCCTTTCCCAATTCCTGAAAGGCCTCTCTAGGCTCCTTCCACTCGTGTCTTCGTAGAGTTTTTTGTGGTCAATCCTTTTGAAAGGCGTCAAGATCATCCAGTCATCCGCTTATGGGCCTGCCGCGACGTCTATTGGTTGACAGAACTCCCATCGAATGACTGCTCCCGCCTGGGTGAGGTTTTTAGTCAGTAAGTCTGACACAGGGAGTGTCAGACTCTTACTGACTAAAAACCACCCCGTTCCTTCTCCTGCACGTCGAGCCGGAGCCACGGTTACCCGTTAGGTTCTCCGCGACATGGTACCAATTAACGATAAAGAAAAGCAAAAAAAAAAAAAGCAGTCATGCTAGCTAAGGAGGAGGCGGGACGCGTGAGGCAGCGAAGCGCTGCCTCCTCGCAACCCAGCCATCGCGAGGGACACACCGGGCGTCGGGGATCGCGAGACGATCTCCGGCCACCGTAAGCGCGGGCCTGCGGACGGCGAGCATGGGTGGCTCTCCGTCCGACCAGAAACAGACCCGAGCGTACGGCGCGTCGCGTTCCGCGCGCGCCTCAAAGAGCCATCAGACCACCACAGATGGGGCCCAATAGGGCCAATGCCGATTCGGAGTCGCGGAGAACCTAACGGGTAACCGGGGCTCCGGCTCGACGTGCAGGAGAAGGAACGGGGTGGTTTTTAGTCAGTAAGAGTCTGACACTCCCTTCCGCCTCACCCAGGCGGGAGCAGTCATTCGATGATTTTCCCAAAAAAAAAAAAAAAAGGTTCTCCGCGACTGACAGAACTCCTAACAAGGTTTTAATTAACTCGTCGAGTACCGGTTTTGTAGACACAATTAAAGAACAATAGGTTGCGGTCACCGGTGACCTCGCGGTGTTTGACAGTTTAACTTGCAATGTGTGTGCGTGTGTGTGTGTGTCTGAAGTGGAATCTTAAAACTGAATGTTGAAGCAGTTACCTACAACCGATTGAACTGAAATTTTATATACACGTTTAGTTTACATGACCATAAATGCTTGCTTTATAAAGTACCTATTTAATTTTTTGTACATTGTAATGATACAATTATTTATACTATCTTCGTTCGGAGGCCTTAGTACGAGTGTAATTTACGTATAAAGTATTCGAAACGAGTTCGCGTTCGGCGCTCTGATTGGCCGGCGCCAATGAAGCAACCAATCACAGCGGCGAACGCGTACTTGTTACGATAATTTTAATAAAACAAACTCGTACTAAGGCCTCAGGTATTATTACCTAAAGTTCCCGGCGAATGTGTCGAATTTTACTTCCATACGAACCTCGTCCTAACAATAACAAACACAACATTATACATTATCCATTTTGGTCGAGTGGTTGAGTACAGACAATGAGCTGCAGACATTCTGTGACGCTCAGCTGCGGACAAGATTCAATCTTTAAGTCCTGAAGTTGTTTAGTCATATTATAAATGGTGACGTGGCGTATGTCAGACACCTTAATAAATAATAATACGATCTGTCCATAATTTAATTATTCTATTAAGGAAGTGCAAAAAAACAACATTTTCGAATGAAATCAGCGTTTTTTTTTTTGTTCAAATTCTATAAAATATATTTTACATAACTTAAAATATATTTTACTAGCGACCCGCCCCGGCTTCGCACGGGTGCAATATGCATGTTTTATACATACAAACCTTCCTTAAGAATCACTCTATCTATTAAAAAAAATGGTTGCCTGTGAAGTCGTTTTTACGGGCGAAGATTTTACGTGACAACGTCTTTTTCTCGGTAGAATATTTATTGATATGAATATAATTAAATTGCACAATAGGAACAAGGAATTGAATGAACTAGTGCTGCGCGCGCGGCAGACCGATCATAGTTGAGTGGGAGAGAGACGCAAGGCATTCGGCGGGCCTCTCTCTCGTTCGGTGACTCATCGTAACGTTACCGAGCGTTACACTTTTTCATAAGTGACTCCCAGCCGCAACCTAATTTAAGACGTTGTCACGTCAAAAAACCGCATCAAAATCCGTTGCGTAGTTTTAAAGATCTAAGCATACATACGGACATACAGCGAAAGCGACTTTGTTTTATACTATGTATTGATATGTTACTAGCTGACCCGGCAAACTTCGTACCGCCTAAAAGTTTTTTCTCACCTTTTAAACCTTCCCTAGACTTCCACGAACCTTAAACTTAAACCAATTGCTTTGAATTTTTGCAGACGTAAAGTTAGATTCGGATCCGGATTAAATAATAGGGTACTTTGTATCCCGGAAAAATTGATATTCCCGAGGGAATTCGTATTCGTTTTTTGTGTCTGATAGTCTATAAAACATCACGCTACCGCCGAGCAGCGAGTGAACCGAGAGCAGCCAGTTATCGAATAAAACATGATTTAAATATCATAATTTATATAACTACATAAATATTTACAACTTAAAATTAACTACAACTAAACTATTAAATAAAAAGAAAGTAAAAGAAAACAACAAAAATTATACCCTTAATTTAGGCGTCAAAGTATTCGTCCGCATCACTATCACAGGGGAAAGTTCCCAGAAGACTGGCAGCATTGCCACGTTGAATGGCAATGCTTATTTTCTGTCCGAAGAAAAAGCCAGCCCTCTGGTCACGTGTAGAGTCGATTAGCCTACGGGCGATGTCTTTAAACACAGAGTGTGCACTGGGACCCCATGGCCCAAGTGTTTCGACCCCAAACGGCTCAAAACAGTAGTTACCCACTAGATTTGAATATTTACGCCGTTTGAGGGCCTCTGCCGCGGAAGCAGCCGCACCAACGCATGCAGCGGTGCTTAAAAGATGTGATGGCGCAAGGGTGTCTACACACGTCGCGTCCCACACCAAAGGCCTACCCATCTTCCAAGGCAGCAA